GGGCGCGCGGGGGGGGGGGGGGGGGGGGGGGGGGGGGGTTCCCCTTCACTTTCGATTAATCCATGTGATAAAATGTGGATAGTTAACTTTAAGAGATTGATTTGAACATCCATTAGTATGAAGAAATATGAAATTTTGAGCCAAAATAACCTATCAGTATCAAATTACAACAGATTATTTAGCTCAGTTTCTCTCTCACACGCTCTCTCGTCTCTCTACTCGTTCCTTTTTCCCTTTCTCCATTTTCTGCTTCTTTATCCTTCTCCCATAGTTACTTTGCTCACTGGTAGAAGAAACAGCTCTGCAGCCCCCCTTCCTCTTCCTTTCTTCTCCCTCAAATTCACATCCACTATTCAGTCATAACTACACCCTTTTCAAAATATTAGTAAGATTTGATCTTCAAAGTTTGGAGTGGGTTAGGGAAGGTCTTTGTTCAATTCGTATGTCAATATGAAATTTTCCAGCAATGACCTCATAATATTAGGGTACAACAATAATAAACAAGTGGAGACCAAGTAGTCCAGTTAGGTTTCTATCAATATATCATAATCCTATTTTATCCACGATAGCTACAGATAAAAACCTACTCGGATAAGGATATAAAGTCATATCAAAACAATGATAAACAAATCCTAATGAATAAAGATAAAATTGTCCCCCTTAATTCAAAAATTCCGATTCTTATCTTGTTCTTCAACTTGCCGAACCCATACAGCTTCAACGATTTTGTGAACACGTCCAGTACTTGATATTTTGACTTGTAGCAATCGAGATCAGTTTCATTTTGAATCTTGACTCACCAAATCAAAAGCTATAATGCACATTGGTGTCTTTACTTCTCTCATCTGCGATTGGATTCTAAACTAGCTCGATAGCTGAACCACAATTGCTAGTTAGCTGAGAGTCCAATTGTACGGGAAACATATAAAGACATTGAAGGGCATTATCACTTTCCACACAATCAAGTCAAGAATAACAAAATCAATCATGTTTAATATATCAAGTTTCCATATGTTTACAACACCACTGATTCTGCATTCATTCATACTCAAAACTAAGCTCCATTACACAAAATAACAACTCAAAACAAAGAAGGCGAAAGAAGTCAAGATCCATGAAAAGCAATATTCAGAAAAAGGTCATATCCCAATACTACTAAATTAACGACCCTAAACCCATTTCTCGCAATAATGAACAAATTAACAAGCCTGCATTTGAAGGGTCTTTCGGGATATCATTTAATTCCTTGAAACAAGGATATCAACATGCCAACATCAACCACACAATCTAAGTTTAGGACCATTCAAAAAGCCAATCAAACACATAACAAAAAAATATATCGAATTCAACATCCTCGAGAGTACACTAAACAAAAATCAAACTGAATTTACCTGTTATGACACAGTGAAGAAAACGAAAAGACACCACGAAAGTTAAACTCTCGAACCCCAACATCATCAAGACTCCTCCTTTGATACTCAGCCCATACAATCCCCACATGCAGAAGGCTCTGCAGAGCATACCCAAAAATCCAAATCCTTAAAGGAGTCGAGGGTCTTTCTTGAATGGTGGTCAAAAGCACAGAAAATGACAACAAAACAAATGCCAAGTTCCATATTATATCAAGAAACACAAAGGGTCTTGTGTAGCCACAATCTGTAGTGCTGAGTGGTGCATCATTTTCAGGCTCATCATCTATGAAGATCCTGTGCTGGTGGTGGTTGTTGTCAAAGGTGTCTATGGAGTTGCTGATGGGTCCCATGTCTCCATAAGCACTTAAAGTCCGCCTCTCTTCTCGATCCATTGTGTGTTTGTGAGAGAGTAATCAGCTGATTTGTGCTTGTTTTGTGTAGGCGATTTCAGGGTCCATTGGATTTGGGGAAGTGGTTTTGGGTGGAGACTGGTGGAGGAATTACTTTGAAGTACGAACCGAGAATGAAATCATTGTGCACCTGGGAAAATTTCATTTTTGTTTAGTCACCCAACTTATATTTCAATTTGACCATCCAATTTATGACTAGTTTGGTCGGGATTAAAATCAAATTTTAATAAAATTAAAAAATTATGAATCTCATAAAATATGTTATTAAAAACTAATTATTCACTTTCACTTATCCCTTATTTGAACATCATTTTGAGAAAAAAAATACATTTTAAAATAGTTATTTTTTTAAAAATAATGTGGTTAAAAAAATTGATTTACGTGTAAAATTATTTTATTAGAGAATGTGTGATTGTAAATAAATTTGAAAAAATAGAACTCAAACAAAGGTTGAGATTAAAATCTACATTTTAATCCTTATCAAAGAGGAGTATTAAGGGGTCGTGCGACAAAGCTTTTAATAAAAAATTTAGCAATTTTGATAAAAATTAATAAAGTATATTTTAAGCTTTTTTTTCCCAAATAAGCACTTAATTTGATTATTTCGTTCATAATCTTTAACAACGAAATAATAAACTTTGGGGTAGATTTTGATTCTTACCAAACATGGATTATACAAGTATTAAGGGGTTGTTCGACAAAACTTTTAATAAAAACTTTAGGAAATTTGATAAAAATTAATAAAATATATTTCAAGCTTTTTTTCCAAATAAGCATTTATTTAATTTGATTATTTCTTTCATAATCTTTAGCAACGAAATAATAAACTTGGTGACCTAACAAGTGCATTTCGTGGCCTACCATGAAACTGCTAGAGTGGGTTGAGTATATAAATTTCATATATGACCCTTGAACTATTGAAGACTTGTAGTTAAAAATTTGTATGAGTTGGATTGTAAATATTGTTGGCAGGTTTACGAGTGCCGTTAGTTTTCTTGGCGATAGGTAGAACGGTCAAATTGAAATAAAAATATAAGATACGTGACTAAATTGAAATGAATTTAAGTTAGGTCCAACGTGAAATAAATCTGTAAGTTGCGTGGCTGTGGTGAAATTTCCCTGGAACAGGTTGGCTCACTCCCATTGCTATTCAAATGCTTGTTTAAAAAACACCAAATCATCA